AGATACCATGATGTATGCCATGGTGGACTTGTTGAATAATGATAAGGAGATCAACGCAGTATACGCCCAGGTTGATAAGAAGCACAAGAAGTGAAGGTGCATATRTATAATAAGTTTTTTTGTTGGGGATTACAAAAACATTTGAGAMCATATAACGGTTGGTCCCATGAAAACGGAAACGTAAAGTAGCAACAACAGCAGCAACACAATTAACTAGCAGAAATATCAACAGCTACTACAATAGCAGCAGCACCAACAGTAGCAACAACAACAGCAACATCATCAACAAAAAAAAGCAGCAGTAACAACCTTATAAAKAACAACACCAAAACGAACAATATCAACACCAACAGCAAAAACTCTCAGAAAACACGGTATACAGAAGAACSTTGTGATCGCTTTTAGCTAGTTGACATTGTGTCCTAGCTGCATCTTATATAGTTATGTTYTTTAACTGACATCGAGGTCTCTCCTGGCCTGAGCCCGGTTATACGAAGGGTAGATATAGCGATATCCAATGGATAAATCCTTATCCAGTGGATAAGACGATGCTGTTATCTAATAAATTTATCCACTGGATAATGTTTATCCGCCGGATAGCGCTATCCAATCTTCGTACAACCGGGTCAAGATGAACAGCTTGGACAATAAATTTGAGTTAAGGTACCAAGTACTGTGATAAATCTTTATTTTGTGTTCAAAAACTGCTCGCAAACCACCGAGACGTTATTACAAGCACGGAACAGTATTGGCAACATTATGTATAACACTTTCGTAGAATAGGTTCCACAAAACATGAAACTGAAAAAGAATGATCGAAGTATGTTATTTTCTTCTAGAATTTGATCGCAAGCTAATACGTCCTACTCATTCAGAAACTGATGTCTCATTTTTTTCTTTGGCTGATACTTATTCAAATTGGCAACCAGACTATGTATTACTGAATTAGATAATCGATAATAAAGTACTTAGTGAGAAAAACAATTGTTYAAATAATCGACGAATTAACATCACAATGGCAACATGAYGTCCAGCGTTATTAAACACATTTTCGTACTTCCATTCCCACCCCTCCCCCCAAAAGGTATGATTTGTCCTCATGAT